TATAATCATTCACCACCAGAAACACAAAGGAGTTTCCATATTATCTAGATACTTGAGACACTAGTATTCTTTTAAGGCTTTTGAATACTGAGTTAAAGATTTATAACTTTTTTTTCCATTGACTTTTCCAAGTTGGTGAAGGTTTTTATTTTTCAGGAAATTACTTCTTCAATAAACTCCAGGTACAGGATTAAAATGAGCAATGCTGAAAAAAATACATAGAGGTGAAGATATAGCTGCACTCAAAAAGTCCATATTTCTATCTGAAAATCTTTCCACAGAATGATAAATTTATATTTCATAAAAGTGAAAAAATGAAAAAATAAATCTAGTTTAGAAAGCATTAAAGTATTTCAAGTGTGTTTGTTTAAATTCTATGTAATCTAGACTATATTTGTGTAATGTTTCTTAATTATGTATTTTTCTGCATTGTTATTAGTGAGGTTTCTCAGCATTACTCAGGGTATAAGAATTAACACAGTCACAGTGTGTTAATTCTTCCTTAGGTTATTTATTATAAGACAATGTGCTTGCAGTGTTGCTTATTTAAATTGAAAAATTATATTTCCATAACATGAAAGGCAATTTAAGAAAAAAAGAAAAAAAAACTTATTAAAAAATTTCCACCAATTTAGATTCCAATTGTATCTTGAAAAATGCCTATTAGACCAAATTTTTATTGCATAAGAGAGCTGGTGAACCCACCTTCATAGCCAGTATGTTAAAATTAGAAAAAAAATTAAAGCCAATTTGTCTTGATGGATTTGAAGGGATAAATCTGATAAAAGCCTTTTAGCAAAAAAAGAATATTCTTTGATAAAGAGCATTTAGCTTGCATAGTTTTACAATTACTGTTGGAAATTGGGAGGAAAGGAAAAGAGTGTACTGCTCAGACTTTGTTCTGCCTCTGTGGTCCCCTGACTCTCCTGGAAGAGCTTGCTTATAAAAACTTATATTTGCCCCAGTGAATCTGCTATTGTAGCATCTGAACACAAGCCACAGGCACTCTGTTGTTAACTAAACAGAAAGTGCCACTGTGATTCCATCTATAATCACAGGAATATGGAGCAAAATTAACTGCAGCTGATTCAAAATGAGTCATAAGAAAAGCAATTTATGCAAGAGAAGAGGCCTTGTGTGGTTTAGTGTGTGATGCATGTTCTCACGATGAAGGAGGCTATCCCTAATCTCATCTAAACAAAATTGAATGAGGTTCTGAAATTTGGCTCTATTAGCCACATCCTTGTGCAACATAAACCAACCAGTTAGCTTTAGAAACACTATCTTGCTAGGTAATTTTATGCTTTCCTTTTTGTTTAACTGCAAAGAATATGTATTATTCCAAAAAAGAAGATAGGAAGAGGGGTTCTTACCTATGATGCTGATGGACTTTTCATACCTGTGAATAAGCTTTGCCTAACAAACGCTTATCATATATATGTTTAGCAAAAGTATGACATTTGGGGATCCTCCTATCTATTTAGCATTTGCATGCCACTCTCTCCTCACACCACACATACACACACAAATGTAGAATAACATGCACACAAAGAATAACAATAATTTCTAAGTTTAAAAATATATGGTGGAAATGGTAGATGTCTTGGTCCATTCGAACTGCTATAAAAAATACCATAGACTGGGTAGCTTATAAACAACAGAAATTTGTTTCTCACAGGAAAACAATTTCCTATGGAAGTTGGGAAGTCCAAGATCAAGGCACCAGCAGATTGTATGTCTGGTGAGGGCCTATTTTCTGGTTCATACATGGCACTTTCTCGCTGCAATCCCTCAAGCTGTCAAAGAGGCAAAGCAGATCTCTCGGGCCTTTTTTATAAAGACACTAATTCCACCCCTAAGGGCTCCACCTTCATGACTTAATCACTTCTCAAAGGTCTCACCCTTAATACCATTGTTGTGGTGATTCCGTTTCAACATATGAATTTTGCAGGACACATTCTGACTGTAGCATTAGGGAAAAAGTTTATACAGAGGATTCTAAGTATTGCTAGCCTGGAAGTTCATGAAACTCTTGATGTTGTTCAGAAGAAGCATAGATAAGAAGTTGTAACTATAGCATGGAAGAATACTGGTTGTGAGCAGAAAACATACCTAGTTATTATCAAATCATTTTAGAAGCTATGGCAGGTTTAAGACCCTCTCTGTGACCCTTTGATAGGCTGTGATGTTCACTTAGAATGCAATTGATATTTAGCAACTTGGCCCAAGTGCCTCTCTGTCTTCTGATGAATGAAGCATGAACTGGTGACAATACAAAAAATACTTAAAATCTCTGTGGAGTGTAGAGTTTCTTTCACTATTTGATCTGGAAAAAAATCAAATAAAAACTAACTATATGTATTCCTGTTTAAAACCATTAATTGGCTTCACAGTGTTCTTTAAATAAACTACAGACTCTTTACTAAATCTTTTTTTTTTTTTTTACTAAATCTTAAAAAGTCAGATACTTGCCCTTATCACCAACCTCATCTGCTATGAACTTTCTCCTTACATATTTTCACTCAAAATGCAAGGCTATAACCAAACACTATAGATTGGGAGGCTTAAACAATGGAAATTTATTTCCTCACCATTCTGGTGGCTGGAAATCTGAGGTCAGGGTACCGGAATGGTCAGGTTCTGGCGAGGGCTCTCTTCCTAGCTTGTAGATGGCTACCTCTGGCTGTATCCTCACATAGTAAAGAGAGAAAGATATGTTTCTCTTTTCCTTTTTCTTTCTCCTTCTTCTCCTTCTCCTTCTTCTTCTTTTCTTTTTTTTTTCTTCTTCTTCCTCCTCCTCCTCCTCCTCCTCCTCCTCCTCCTCCTCCTCTTCTTCTTCTTCTTCTTCTTCTTCTTCTTCTTCTTCTTCTTCTTCGGCCACAACCCTATAGGATTAAGACCCCATTCTAAGGTGGGGACTTCATTTAACCTAATTACCTCTAAAATATCCCATCTCCAGATACTGTCATATTGGGAGTTAAAGCTTCAACATAAATTTTGGAGAGACACAATTCAGTCCATAGCATTCTATCCCTTGCCCTCCAAAATCCATGTTCTTATTGCATGAAAAGTACATTAATTCCACTCCAATAGTCCCCAAAGTCTTAACTCATTCCAGTATCAGCTGGAATGTCCAAAGTCTCACCTAAATATCATCTAAATCAGATATGGGTAAGTCTAGAAATAAGATTCTTTCTGAGGCAAAATTTCTGTCTTGTTGTGAACTTGTAAAACCAGGCAAAGTTTATGTTTGCAAAATATAATGGTGGGAGAGGCATGAAATCAACATTCCCATTCCAAAAAAGAGAAATCAGAAAGATAAAAGGGGTGACAGGTCTCAAGTAAATCTAAAACCTCACAAGCTGATTTCATTAGATCAATCTTAAGGCTTGAGAATAATCCTCTTTAGTTCAGTGCTCTGCCCTTCAGGCCCCCTGGGGTGGCAGTGTCACTCCTATGGCTCTTTGGGGTGTCCACACTCCTTTGTTACTCTGTGAGGTCCCAACCTGGAGGCAATGTGCAGGGGCATCCTTCTAAAACCAAAGAATTGGTCCTATCGTTTGAAATCAAGAAGGAAACAGTTTTGTCCTCTGAGCCTGTGGAGGACTGGCAGCTCTGATGATCTCTGAATTGCCTTCAGGGTCACTCTTCTCTTCCTTGAAGTGGTGCATATTTGCAACCAAAGAGCTCCACCCATGGTCTGGTCTTGTAGAATGAATTCATAATGTCTGAAACTTTCCTTTATTATGTCCTGTTTTCTTTGTTCCTTTTAGTTCTTTGCTAGAAAATAAGTGTCTTTGCTGTCATAATCCCATCTCTGTTCTTGGCTTCTACTGAGATGGTGTTTCAATCTAAGAGTAGCACCCATGATTTCTTTATCAAATGATAGTTTCACCACACCCTGAGTATTCTTTTCAAAACAAGCTTTCTCATTTTTTTGCAATATGGATAGTCTGAGAATTTTTTCAGATCTTCAAGTCCTTATTCCTATTTTCTTAACAATCCCTTCTTCAAGTTATCTCACTCCTTTTGCATTCTACTATAGGTATTTGAAGGGAACCAAGCCACTCCTCAACCCTTTGTTTAGAAATCTCCTCAGCTTAATACTGAATATCATTGCTTGCAAGTTCTACCCCCCACAAAACATTAGAATGTAGTTTAACCAAATTCTTTGTAGTTTAATAATTCTTTGCCATTTTATAACAAAGATCATTTTTTTCTTCAGTTTCCAATAACATGTTTCTCATTTCCATTTGAAACTTCACCAGAATCTTCTTTAATGTCCATATTTCAAGTATGAATCTCAAGAGCCTTCCAACCTCTACCTTTTATCCAGTTCTAAAGCCATTTCCACATGTTTAGTTATTTGTTACAACAGCACTCTACTTATTGATACCAAACCTATATTAAGTCAGCTCAGGCTGCCATTACAAAATATTATAGACTGGGTGATTTCACAGTTCTGGATGATGGTGTGTCTGATCATTCTTTGACCCTGAGTACACGAAGAACTGACATTTTCAGACTGAAACCTGACAGACATAACAGAAAGCCTGGGTGCCCAGGCAGAAGCCTGCCACTCTATTAGGGTGGTGGCTAGTAGAGCTGTGGGAATGGGGCAACTACTGCCCTCTGGACCCCAGAATTATAGAGCTACCCACAGCATTTACCCCCAGACTGGAAAAGCTGCAGGCATTTGACTCCAAGCCATGAGAATAGTCACATGGGTTGTACCCAGCAAAGCCATGGGGATGGGGTTTCTCAAGGCCTTAGGAGTCTACCCATCCTACCATGTGCTCAGGATGTGGGACATGGAGTCAAAGATTATTTTAGAGCTTTAAGATTTAATGTCTGCCCTACTGAGTTTTGGACTTGTGAGGAACCTGTTACCCCTTTCTTTTGGTCAGTTTCTCCCATTTAGAATGAGAATGTTTGCTTAATGCCTGTACCTCCATTGTATCTTGAAAGTAAATAACTTGTTTTTTACTTCACAGGCTCTTAGGTGACAGAAACTTACCTTGACTCTCACATGAGACTTTGGATTGCAGACTTTTGGGTTGATGCTGAAACACGGTAAGACTTTTGGGGACTATCGGGATGGAATGATTCTATTTTGTTTAAGATAGAAGGACAGGAGATGGGAGCATCAGAAGCAGAATGCTATAGTTTGGATATTTGTCCCCTCCAAATCTCATGTGGAAATTTGATCCCCAATGTTAGAGGTGGAGTTTAATGGTAGGTAGGTGGTCATGGGGGTGGATCTCTCATGAATATATGAATGCCCTCCCTGGGGGTGATGAGTGAGTTCTAGCTCTACTAGTTCCCATGAAAGCTGGTTGTTAAAAAGAGCCTGGCACCTCCCCCTTCTCTCTTTTGCTTCCTCTTGTCCCACATTATCTCTATACAACCTATCCCCTTTGCCTTCTGCCATGAGTACAAGCAGCCTAAACTCCTTGCCAGCAGCAGATGTTGGCTCCACACTTCTTGTACAGGCTACAGAACTGTGAGCCACATAAACCTCTTTTCTTTATAAATTGCCCAGCCTCAGTAACAGAAAACTTGACTAAGTAGTTTAATCAAACATGGGTTTCCTTTCTAACATAACAAAATGTTTGGAATAGACAGATTTTTATCAATGACTTGGTGGCTCAGTGTTATCAGGACCGTCTCTGTGATTCTCTTGAGCACTGGTGTGCTGGAGCCAGCCTGTGAGAGCCAGTTGTTAAATTTCCAGGAATTTGTGAACTGGTTGTGAAAGAGCCATTATTATAAATTAAATTTAATGAACTAATAAATTAAGTTAAAAACAAAGTACTGAAGACTTATCACTTCCTAACTATTTTTCTACATTTCACTATTATCTATGCCCTTAAAGTTATTTCTATCTATTGGAAATGTTTGGTGGAAATACTATACGATGGTGTGTTTACTGCACTAACTCAATACTGAGTGATGTCGCATTGTGGGCTTTAAATAGACCATGGTGGGAATATTTACACCAAGGAAATCACCAAATGCTACATACAAGGGCTCTCCCTCCTCCCCCCAAGGAAAACTGGTGTTTAAACATTTAATAGCATGTTATTGTTCTTGAGACTTTTTCTTTATGGCACCAAAATGCCTGCTGCAGCTCTGGTTCCAGCTTTCATAAGGCTGAAGGAAGAGTGAAGGGTTGGGGGTAGGGTGGAACAAGAGAGATGGGGATAAAGGTGACTCCTACATTAGACAAAGCAACAGTGTCATCGGCCACTTCTAGTGGATGATGTTGGGAAGCAGGGGTCTGGAAGTGTAGGGTTGCCCCAGTTCTGAGGAATATAGGTGATTGTATGACTGGATCATACAGAATGGGCAGAGGGTGCAGATGGGGAGAGGTAAGAAAGAGATGATTAGATAGTAGATGGTATTTTGTAACCTACTCTTCCATTTAATATATGATGGATATCTTTTTACTTTATCAAGTATTATTCTATAATACAATTTCAAAGACTTCAGAGTATTCTATTATTGAATTCCTTCTCTAAAGGGAATTTATTTAATGACTTAGAATATCTTACTCTTACTTAGTTTTCAGTGTTTACCATTCATGGTCAACAACCCAGGCCACATTTACTTGTGTGTCATGGGAAAAAGGAAAGGGACAGGAGATAATCTGGTTAAAAGTAGAAATCAGAAGTATTGTCAAGGGAAGAATTGTTATTCTCAGGTTTTGATTATGGTATTTCATCTGGTGAAGTATACGGAAAAAATTAGGAAATAAAAGACAAATTTGACACCTTAGCCTTAAGCTTCTGCATTAAAATAAGAGAAAAATATTGTTCATATATCAAGGGAAATAGGTTACAAGCTGAAGCACGCAAACCTCTTCACACAATCAAATGTACTGCCCAAAAGGAATTAATGGTATTCTGCTTATTTTCATTGAAATAAGGTTAGAGACTCCAGCTCTGGTAAAAATTTAGCAACTGAATGCCCAATTGAATTAATTGAACTCCCTGGGAAGGAGAATTCTAGTTATTGCTTTTCTAGTTTTCTAAACTTATTGCTATTAAATTATGAAAGGCACTTAAAGCCTGTATAAGCATTGGCCAGGGCACTAACGTCCCCCTAGGCTGCTGGGTTCCTGGGTGAACTTACCTATGAAAAAAGATCTCTGACTTAGCCACATTCAAAAGTTGGAGACTCCATCAATTTTAGAGTTTTTAGTTTTTGAAGAAGAATGAGGATAAATAAAGATTTTAATAAGAAAAATATGAGATCCTTTTGTTTCAGAGTACATTTTTTCCTTTTTTTAAAATAAGATTCATTTAAGAATTGAGTGCTGTCAAACCTGTCTGGGGAGCAAAGATAATTTCTAGTCTAAAGAAAGACTGATCTCAAATGCAAACCAAGGGAATAACAGGGCCTCGAAAATCAAAATGAAGGGAAATGTTGCTAATCTCTTTCCATTGAGGACGAGTGAAATTTAAATTAAGGAAGCAGGTTTTTTCCTAGGGTTTTGAGATGTCAAAGTAGGGCAGGCTCTTCATATCAGTCAAGAAATGTGCTGGAGTCAAGATTTTCTCCCCTGTTGTCACCAAAAAGTAGCCTGAAATAAATATTCTATTTTAAAAAGAAATTTGACTGATAACCCCTGTTTGCCTTTCAAATGATCATTTCATTTTTATTTCCTATAGTTCAGCATTTTCTTTCAGAGAGCTACATTTCTGATCAGAAAGGGAAACTTAAAGTGGAATCACATAGTAAAGGAATAATAGAGAAAGTTCTGTATATATCATTTCAAATGCCAGAATTACAGATGATGTGTTAACCTATGACATGCTATTCTGTTCTTACATTTTTTGATAAGTCAGGAATTCTAAGAATAATGAAAGTGTGAAAAGCATAGATATTGTTTCCCATGAGAGCCTCTCTCCATCCACCCAGTTGCACTCCAAAGAACATGAAGAACCCCAGAAGGGGCTGCCTTTTTGAAAAGCACTTGACATTTCTCTTAAAAGCAGATTGACTCCATTTTGAGTTCCTTACATTACTTTTCCAAATAATTTATTGAACGCTTAAATTTGTCAGATATTCTTCCAAGTTCTTTGTTGGTATTTTTTATTTAATCTTCATAATAATCTTACAATATAGTAATATTGTCTCCTTTTTACAGATGAAAAAATTGGGGCTTGAAGAGATTTAGTAATGCCATGCAGCAAATAAGCAGTGGAATTACAGAAGAGTCTGTTCTTTTAATCATTAAAATGTATTGTTTCCCAACATAAAACTTAGGGGAAAAGTGAATAAAAAGGCAGCTATACTACTATAATATATAGATTATACCTTGCCCCTCATCACCTAAGCTGTTTGTTCATAACTTGATACAGCAAGAAAGAGGTAGGGATGGGTACCATGCTGTGGATTTGTGCGTTCTTACCAGTTTGTGGTAGAGAAGAAGATGGAAAACTGACATAGGGAAGAAAGTGAGGAGGAAAAAAATAGGAAATATATTGGACTGTGAGAATATTAATGGCCGTAAGCATTTTGAAAACTGCTCACAGATAATTTTCAAGATGTCTATATCCTGGAGGAAGCAATGACTGTGAGTAGATATTATCTATGGATGCTCGTATTTAAAAGTATCAAAACCACTCATCACTCATTTCTGGATGGAAAAATCCTAGAAATCCTTCTGTTAAGAAATGAGATGACTCTAGCTAGTTTGGATTTCTTATCACCTTAGAGTAGCAGTCCACAACCTTTTGGCAACAGGGGCCAGTTTCATGGAAGATGATTTTTCCATGGACCAGGTTGTGGGGGATAGGGAGTAAAGATGGAATAGAGATGATTCAAGCACATTACATTTATTGTGCAGTCAAACCTGCTAATGATATCTGCATTTGCTGCTGCTCCCCAACGCTAGCGTCACCTCCTCAACTCCACCCCAGATCAGCAGGCATTAGATTCTTATAAGGAGCACACAGCCTAGATACGCAGTTTACTATAGAGTTTGCATTCCTATGAGACTCTAATGACACTGCTGATCTGACGGGAGGTGGAGCTTATGCAGCCATGCGAGTGGCTGTAAATACAGATGAAGCTTCACTTGCTTACCCACCACTCAACTCCTGCTGTGTGACCCAGTTCCTAACAGCCATGGACTGGTACTGGGGCTGGGTACTGCAGCCTTCAAGGTTGTACATATTGAATGGGTTTAATCAAAAATAGTCAAAAATAACCTATGTTCTTAAAGAATTTTTAAATGCTAGAATATATACATAGAAATAACTCCTTGAATTCTAAGATAGACAAGAGACTAGACATTTTTCAGGTTGGGGAAAAAAATGACCACGAAGGCTAATTAAGTTAGAGTGACTGGAGGAAATGGATATAGAACATAGTGGATGAATTGAAAGTTCTGTCGTGACTGGAGATGTTTGTGAAAATAGATGATGTAATTTTTTAGGAAGCATCCTCTGGCAGTGTATTGATAAAGCTTTTGACATATTTCACTCAAAAATGCTGCCATGTTGTTTTATTTTTTTGAATTTTCTAAGTTTTTATACTTGGTCTACTTCTTACATATGTGTATGGCTTTCCTCACAGAAACCAAAAGTTCTTTGTCAATATATGCAGTAAAATAGTAGATTGCTTAAATTCACTATGGGTATTTTTTAGAACTGAAAATATATAAATATATAGTTAGAGAAAAACAAAATCCAAAACCAAAACTGACAGTTGGAAAACATTTTTATTATTGATATCATTAGATAGTTCATAGCAGATATTAGGTGAGTTTTCCAAGGGAAAAAAAGGATGAAAAAAACAAAACTATGAACGTTTTACTGAAGAAAATGGGATATTGGTCATTTTAATCTATGCTGCAACTTCTCGTTACTTGAATAGATGTAGTTGGTAAGAGAGAGGTTCAGTGAGATGGTCTGCCCCCTCCTTCGGATATCTTCTGAGATCTTGTGCCACATAAAATCAGGAAGTGAAGAAGTAACTATTACATGAAATCAGAACATTCAGAAAAAAATTAAATAGAAAACTTTCAACCATTGAACATTTCTTTGTATCAGGCACATTCCAAT